AAAAGAAGTTCAAATATTTTGTAATGGAGGAGATAGGGGTCATCATCTTCAAATGGGTTATGTCTACCTTTTGGCAGTTCAGCCTAAAAGTGTTGATGCCGAAATATGTTTTTCATCAGTAAATTTGTATGTAAAAACTGCAGGTCAAGCTTTGAAGACTCCGCTTTGAATGCTTTGCTGCTCTTATGAAAACATTTTAAGTGCAATAATAACAACACCGATTATGAGATCCGTTTGACTCGTACACCCTCAAAATTTCTAGTAAATATCGAAAAAAATGGCAAAAAATTCTCCATTCGCCATTTCTTTATAGAGTAGAATAAACATTTAGAGAAATTGTTTTTGTATATTTTTGTTTTATGTTTTTTAATTAATCGTTACTTTCAAAAGTACCTGGTATTTAAATTATTATTTGTGATGTATACGTTCCTCAAGCACATGGTTGCAACAAGTTGCACTCTACGGCAAAAATAATTTTTTTTTTCTTAAAAATTAAATTTTTTTTTTAAATTCATTAAAAATCCAAAACGGAAAAAAGTGTCACGTAAAGTCACATAACCTATGAACAAAATGATACATACATCATGAAATTTAATATTTTATACAAAAAATATTTTTTTTCTTAATACATTTATTTTTACCGGCAAAACTGTTGATTATGTAGAAAAACGTTATATGAACAGATTAAAGGAATTGTAATTTTTAATTTTTTTAAATTTGTTTGAGCAAAATCGGACTAGTGGTTCTCGAGTTATGTCAAAAAAAGACCACCAAAGGTGACAATTTCCCCTATATGATAGTTACTAACTTCAAATCGATATATCTCGATTCCTAGACGTGACCCAGCGAAACGCCGGACTTGTTTTTGACCGATATAACATTTCCCGTTGGTTTCATCCCACGTATAAATTGTTTTTGACCGATAAACATTTCCCGTTAGTTTCATCCCATCCCGATTTTGACTGTCGCATAGTGTTATATTTTAGTGTTAATATCATCAGTGAAGTGTAATTTTTGATTTTCTTTCCTCAACGTTTAGGACATTGTGATTTTAAATAATATCAACAAAATTTTTGTGAAAATCACACTTGCTTATATGTATGTACATATATTAGAGTGGTTCAAAAAAATTTTTTTTTTGAAATTCATAAACGCTCCCTCAAATTATTGTTATTTGTGATAGAAATAGAGAAACGTGTTTTTTATTGAAAAAAAACAGCTTTTTTTAGAGGTCGCGCTGGTCGGTGTTTTATAAAAACGCTGATGTTCTCGCGCGACCCTAAAAAAACTTTTTTTCGAAATAATAAAAACGTGTCCCTTTTTTTATCACAAATAACAATATGCTGATGTAGCGTTTATGAATTTCCAAAAAGAGTGTTTTTATGAACCACTCTAATGTATATGTATCAAATACATATCAGCAACAACCCTCATTATATAATAAATAATGTAATAAACTAATTTCTGCATTTAGATCTAAGCAAATGTGGTGGAATATGGTTATTAATAATAATAATAATAGATTGGCGCTTACGCATATGTTAGTCCTGGTTATTAGTTATTAGTTTGTATAAATGTATAATTGATTCAGAGGTGTTTTCTTTATATAAATTAAAATTAATCACAATGTTTAATTTCTCCAAAAACAAACCTTGGAAGGTACACATTAATTAATTAATATGTATTTTTTTTTTCAAACTGGTTTTCCTTTTTTTATTCCAAAACGGAACGAAATCGAAACCGAAACCGAAAATAATTTTGAAGAACAAAACCAAAACCGAAACCGGAACGTTATTTAGCACCGGTTTCATTCCTTGGTTTATTTCAAGGATTGTTCGATATTCTCAAATCATAGAAATCTGCGCTGGTCGTTTATCTTTTTTAATATTCGTTTTCTCCAGTTGAGTTAAATTAGTTTTCGTCTATGATCCGACAAAGGCACGACCTTCACCCATCTGTTTAATGGATGAAATCTTTTTTCTATGAAATTTAACGTGGTAATAAATATTTTGCGAGTGGCTGGCTGGTTGGCTGGCCAGGATATTTTTAATTAAATATTCAAAAATTATTTTTGTTTTAATTCTGTACACATTTGTTTAATGAAAAAATTATATACCCATCGAAAGTATTAAGCCTTTAGAATGTGGAAACGTTGAGTGGTCTATTTTTTCCTGGCCTACCTATCGGTTTGGCAGGTATGAACAGGTAGATAATATTAGTAGTTTTCTTTCATCTGATTAACACATTCTAAAGGCTTTATGCTTTCGATTGTTTTATATGTATGTAATTTGTTCATTAAACAAAAGAGTGCGAAATTAAAAAAATAATAATAATTTGTGAATATTTAATTAAAAATATCCGGGCCAGGATTTTTTCAGCCAACAAACTCACGGAATATTTCCTAACACGTAAAATTTCATACAAAGTAGATTTCATCAATTAAACAGCGCGACCTCTAAACATTTTTTTTTAATAAAAAAAACGTCTCTTTTTTTATCACAAATAACAATATTCTGATGTAGCGTTTATGAATTTCCAAAAAGAGTGTTTTTATGAGCCACCCTAATGAATAGGTATGTATCAAATACCTATGAGCCACAACCCTTATTATATAAAAAAATAATGTAATAAACTAATTTCTGCGTTTAGATCTAAGCAAATGTGGTAGAATATGGTTATTAGTTTGTATAATTGATTCAGAGGTGTTTTCTTTATATAAATTAAAATTAATCACAATGTTTAATTTCACCAAAAAGCAAACTTGGAAGGTACATATTAATTAATAAATATTTTTTTTGTCAAACTGGTTTTAATTTTTTTATTCCAAAACCGAAATCGGAACGAAATCGAAACCGAAACCGAAAATAATTTTGAAGAACGAAATCAAAACCGAAACCGGAACGTTATTTTGTACCGGTTTCAGTCCTTGGTTTATTTCAAGGATTGCTTGATATTCTCAAATCATAGAAATCTGCGCTGGTCGTTTAATTTATTTAATACTCGTTTTCTCCAGTTTAGATAAATTATTTTTAGTCTAAGATCCGACAAAGGCACGACCTTCACCCATCTGTATAATGGATGAAATCTTTTTTATATGAAATGTAACGTGGTAATGAATATTTTGCGAGTGGCTGGCTGGTTGGCTGGCCAGGATATTTTTAATTAAATATTCAAAAATTATTTTTGTTTTAATTCTGTACACATTTGTTTAATGAAAAAATTATATACTTATCGAAAGTATTAAGCCTTTAGAATGTGAAATCCATGATACAAAAAAGAAGGTAGTTTCAATAAACAACTTTTGACGGATAATAAAATTTTTTGAAGTTTCATAATTTGTGAGTATTATCAACGGCCTTGCCACTTTGATAATTTTAAAACAATAAATCGGAGTATTTATTTTCCCATATTTATACCAATGTAATAACATTTCAAATCAAAAACCATTATCAGTACTTGGTACTGTTAAAGGAGACTTCATCGTAATGGTTCTTTTCATTTTGTAATAAAAACCACGCGCGCATTTTTCTGTTTTTTTTTAATGCAATCTTGCGATTTAAAAATCAAATTCTAAAGAATGTTCTTCCCAAATAAAACCTTTTGATATTTAGGTTCAAATTTGCTTTTAAATTTCTAATCAGATTTTGCAAAAAATTAGGCTTTTAGCATCATTAAATTTCACAAATTTTTAATTTATGCAAAACACCTGAAGTCGGCTTGAACAGACCGCCCTCCGATAAACAGCTAACAGATCGTCGTTTAAAGTACAAAACCGTGTATCAACAAAATGCACAACTGCGTATGTGAGGTTGCATAAATTATTTAGAAGAGAGTAAAAACACCCACATTTCAAAATGGTTCTCTTTTTTACAAAGAAATCGCATTTCAGGACGAATGGATAAGGGTTGAGCCAAGAGCTTGTGTGATCAAATCCAATTTTTGGAGAAAAATGTCAGTTACGCGGTTTTGCAGTTACACTTTCTTCATGCGTTCTGAAACCTTGTCGTCAACCCCATTTGCGAAATCATTTAGCCGGCATAATTTTCTAGTTCATCATATTCCACTTCTTTGAATGTACTGATAAAATCTTCTGCTTAAAAAAATATATTTCTTCTAGTAATCAGGTAGCATGAATTTGATGAAATGTCATAATTTTATTAAAAGTCAAATGGTTAGCAACAACAACGAATGTCATTAAATGAAACTACCTTCTTTTTCGTATCATGGTGAAAACGTTGTTTTTTTCCTGGCCTACCTATCGGGTTGGCAGGTATGAACAGGTAGATAATATTAGTAGTTTTCTTTCATCTGATTAACACATTATAAAGGCTTTATGCTTTCGATTGTTTTATATGTATGTAATTTGTTCATTAAACAAATGAGGTCAAAATTAAAAAAATAATAATAATTTGTGAATATTTAATTAAAAATATCCGGGCCAGGATTTTTTCAGCCAACAAACTCGCGGAATATTTCCTAACACGTAAAATTTCATACAAAGTAAATTTCATCCATTAAACAGATGGGTGAAAGTCTTGCCTTTGTCGGATCTCCTACTATTTGGATCTCTTAAATAACACCAATGCTTTCCCGTGGAGACAAACCATTGGTTTAAAATTTTTGTATCCAAGCAGAAATGCAAATGAAGTTACAGGTTTGTAAAAACCAAATCTCTTTTTATGTTGTTATTTGTAAATAATTCTTTAGTTCGGCGAATAAACAAACGCAAAAGAAATGGTAAAGAAAAATTAATTGCGAAAAATTGTCTTAAGCAGTCCGAAGTTCTTAAGAAATTTGCCACGCTTTCTATTATGGTTTACTGAAGTTTGTTTGTGAAGAGTACAAGCCACCCTTATTTTCACCAAAAATATATGTATGCCCGTTCCGTTATTTCGTAAGGAAAAAGTGAGACAGCAGACTCTAAAATATCAGGTTTCAAAACTCCTTGGACCCAACTTCTCACACACATCAAAGAATAGCAATTAATTTCTTACCCGTTTTCTTAAAACGTCCGTACTTAGCTTTATTCACTGAAATAAGCAAAATAAGCATGATCGTTGAAATTAAGCTTGGAAACCCTGAATAAGCAAAATAAGCAATTCCAAGCAAAAGCTAGAACTTTTCGGCCCTGGTTATACTAATATTAATACACATATGTGTATGTTGTGACATTCTATGTGTATGTTCTAACATTCATGTATGTGTATTAATGTATTGTTTTCAGAGGAGGAAGCATCGAAAGCCTTAACCCCGTCAGTGTGGAACTTTAATCGCAATAAACAGCCTACCGTCCTGTACCGTATCCCCCGGTACTACCGTTAAGTATTGCGTCGGGAGGCGGTGTGAGCGCTAGGCTCAACGTCTGTTACTGTCTTGTTTAGTCTTGGTGCAGTGAGTTGAAAGTTGCACCTTCTAGACCCCCGTGGAGTTTATATTATACCTATGTACGCCACTCATGTCGGGTCCGCTACCCCCACCCACCTTCCCTTATGTCGAGGTCACATGCGTACGTATACATATTTTGCCACAGGCCAAGTTCGTAGAACATTGCGGCGCTTGTTTTCTTCCTCACGTAGCAGCTTATGTATCTTCGCAATTATGTCGCAGACCACGCATTCTCGGAGGTGAGCACGATGTTCACGATATTTTGCGGAAGCGGCGTTGTGTTTGTCAGATCCGCTATTTCTATTCTAAGGGCGTTGAAGCGCGGGCAGTTGAAGACCACGTGGCACGCATCTTCTGCTACGTTAAATATTGGGCAAAGCGGCGAGTTTTCGTATCCAAATCGGTGGAGGTAGCTTCGATATACGCCGTGGCCTGTCAACTGGAAATATACTTCTCCATGCGTACGATTCACCCATTTCACAAGGTTCGGAATCAGGGTGTACATTAGGGTAGTCCAAAAATAATAAATTCGGAATTGTAATGCTCTCACCCATCTTCCCCATATAAAATACATGGAAAACTTTGGGCGCTTTGAGCGAACTCTAACCATTTTTTGATTGCAAAATAACAAAAATACGGGTATACTATTTTTCGGTATAGAACAATCCTAGGGGAGGAGAGCATAAAAATTCCGACTTTACTTTTTCCCATGCATTTGTGGACCACCCTAGTGTACATCCATCTTCCCTTGGTGCTTCTGTCCTATCTCACTTGCCATTTTCAACTGAAAATATACTTCTCCATGCGTACAGTTCACCCATTTTACAAGGTTTGGAATCAGGGTGTATGTCCATCTTCCCTTGGTGCTTCTGTCCCATCTCTCTTGCCATTTTCGAAAGGATACGGCCCTTTCCTCTTTATTAGAAGCGGCTTCAGTATCTGTTTCTGTGCTGCTTTCCTTTCGCATTGAGATATGCGCGGATTCATCAGCCTGAATCGAAATCGGTACCATACCAGCAACCACCATTGCCACTTGCGCTGATGTCGTCTAATACGCAGAAGCAACTTTGAGTGTGCACAGTCTCTGTAAGGCACTGCAGTGTTTCCGGTTCGACCCACACTGGTGATGCGTATAGAAGAGTGGAGGCAATCACTCTCCTAAGTACACTCCGTCTGCTGCTCCTTGGTCCAGCGATATTTGGGAGCATTCTGCTGAGAGAACTGTACATTTTGAAGGCTTTATTGGAAATGTATTCTGTGTGTGCGCCAAAGTTTAGTCTATCGTCTAGTAACACTCCCAAGTAGCGTATCTGTCTATTTGATAGTATTAGGTGCCTGCCCACCGTGAAAGAAGCTTTTTCTGCCTTCTGTCTTCTCCTCGCAAATATAATAATGCTAACAACTGTGGGAAACTGTAACCGGAGGACCCCGTCGTACATTATGTTCCAAAATGTTGGACTTAATACTGAGCCTGGCGGCACTCCTGCTGTTATCGTATCCCTTTGTTATCCTATTTTTGTGTGCTCGCTTTCACTGAGATAGCTTCGTATGATATTAAAGAGATACGCGGGAATGCCTAACCTCGTAAAGGCTTTGAGTTTCAGTTCCCAATTTGATGAGTTGAAAGCGTTTTTAACGTCTAGCGTCACTATAGCGCAGTATTTCTTGTTTCCTCCTTTCCAACGCTTGCCTGCGACTGATTTAGATGCAATAGAAACCGCTCTATTTACTGCCGCTATCGTAGACATCTTCTTGCGAAAACAAAATTGCAGTTGCGATAGACCGTTGTCACTTTCGGTAATGCTGAGTAAGCGATTGTGGATGATCCTCTCCAGAATCTTCCCCATGGTGTCTAGAAGGTAAATAGGGCGGAAGGAAGCGGGTGAACGCAAATGGATTCATGGTTTCGGAAGCAGCACCAGTTTCTGCACTTTGTACCTATCGGAGAATCAGCCTTGCCCAAGACATCTCTGCATCACTCGCGCGAACAGCACCGGGTTTTCTTGAATGGATATTTTCAGTGCTACGTTTTGCATCCCATCCGGACCGAGAGATTTGTTGTTGCCAATCACGCTGGACGCCGCTAAGATGTTACCTCTTCTACGTCGTTGGAATTAATTGGCCGCGGCGGCAGATTTACTGTCTTGCGGTGAGGAAACAGGGTCCGAATAATTTTTCCTAGCAATAAAGGGCATTTGGGTTTTAATGGTTTGCTGATTTTGGACATCACGACTCTATGTGCGCCTCCCAAAGAGTTGGTATCCGCTTGCTCACAAAGCTGTTTGAATGCTGCTATTGTACTTCGTCGAATTTCATTTTCTAGCATTTTACGCAAAATTTTATATTCTTTGTGACAACGTTCATAGCCCGAATCATGTCTACGCCTTTGGCATCGCCATCTAGCGAGCAGGCATTTCGCCCTGAGGTCTTCGATGGTTTCATTCCACCAGTAAAGAGGTTTGCGCTTGAACCCAGCGCTTTTTCTAGACATAGCTGAGTCGCAGGATTTTCGTATAGTTGACGGAATATCCACAGCTTCCCTTAGAGAAGAAGAGTTTTCCTTTACCATGCCGGCATATTCTTTGTATACAAGCCTAAACAGGTTCTCATCAAGTGTCGATGAGTTCCGGCCTATACATTGAGCTTGGTGCGGCGAATCTCGCGCTTTCACTGTGAGTATAGAGGTCGCTATAACACCATTTTGCTCGCCTGGCTAGGGAATTGCTGCTAAAACTCTTACAAAATGTGCTGCTACTTCCTTGGTTAAGAAATACAAAGTCCAATACGGCGATGGTTTCAAGGAATGCTACGCCCCTTTTGTTTGTTTTCTAGCTTCCCCACTCAGTAGACGATACCGTCCAGGAGGTCCTGAAACTCAGCTTGCGTCCAACTTGGGGGAGTGTAACAGCTACAGTCGTTAAAGCCTCTAATTTTTGCCACATTAAGCCGATATTTACATCTGGAGAGTACACTTTTTTTAAGGGATGACTGCCGCAGGCCCAGATATACGTATATGTAATTGGAAAGATGACCTCTTTTTTTACATTTTTCAAAAATCACAGCGATTCCAATGTGAATGAATTTAAGTTCCTTAGTTTTTAACCGACTTCAAAAAAGGAGAAGATTATCAATTCGTCGGAATATTTTTTTTTTGTATGTATGCTACCGCATAACTTTGGACCACGTTAGCCGATTTCTATAATTCTTTATTTTTATAGGAAAATTTCATGTTTTAAGTTATACAGCGGATTAAGTTTATAAATAACCATATTTTTCGTCAATGTTATTGTGGCTTGTTAACATTTTATTTTTAATATTTTTATTGAGCTTTGTACCACGATTGTTTATTAGGAAAAATTGAAAAAGCAACAAAGTCTAAGCGGTAGAAGTTATAGCACTATTTCGGAGATCACCACATCTCCTCATCAGACTTCTTTTTNATAAACCATATTTTTCATTGGCAAATCGACATATGCTTAGCTGTTACCAATACGACAGGGGCGCAGGTTTGCCATTTGTCAAAAAACTGAAGTAGGCAACCCTTACTACTGAACGGAGACACATGTCACATATTTATTGTTAACTAGCTGGCTGCAGTTGCGCGAGGCTTCGGCATGCCCGTCAAAATATGCAAAAAAGTCACAAACTTAGTATTTTAGACTCTACTGTAGCCCAACTTATTAGGTAACATTTACAACTCGTTTCACCAAATCAATTTAACTCAGAAGTGATTATTTACGACTTCAGTCCATTTAAATTAGAACTAACCCAGATATGCCTAAAGATAAGTTACGTAAAAAATTATTGGTATTCTTGAAAATTTGTAGATTTAACGGTAAGGTAAAAGATTTTTATTAAATAACATTATTTAATGTTTTATTTGGCTTCTTCTTCTTTATTGGCGCTGTAACCGCCTGTGTGAGTCCAAAACAGCACGCCAGTCATTTCTCTCTTGACACCAATTGGAAATGCCAAGAGAAGCCAAGTTCTTCTCCACCTGGTCTTTTAAACGCAGAGGAGTCCTTCCTCTTCCTCTGTTACCAGCATCGCGGCCCGCGTTGAATACTTTCAGAGCAGGAGCGTTTCTGTCCAATTGAACGACAAGGCAAGCCAGCGGAGCAGCTCAATTTTAATTCGCTGCACTATGTCTAGATCGTTGTAAAGCTCATACAGTTCATCGTTAAATCGTCTGCGGTATTTGACATCGCCAAAGCGTAAGGGTTTTTAAATCTTTCGCGGAATCTTTCTCTCGAAAACTCCAAGATGCGCTTCATCAGATGTTTTCATTGTCCATGCCTCTGCGCCATACACCAGCACAGGCATGATGTATTAAGTGTGATCTCTCAACGACGAGATTGCCGACTCAGTCCAAAGTAGCACTTGTTGGCAAGAGTGATTCTCCGTTGAATATCAAGGCTGACATTATTATTGATGTTAATGCTGGTTCCCAAATAAACGAAGTTGTCTACTTTTTTAAAGTTGTAACTGTCAACAATGACGTGTGCGCCAAGAAGCGTATGCTCTGACTGTTTGTGTGATGACAGGAGATACTTCGTTTTGCCCTTGTTGTCCACCAGACCCATTCGCTTTGCTTCTCTATCTAATCCCGAGAAAGCAGAAAAGACGTAGCCCTTGTTTTTACCGATTATCAATATCGTCGGCATACGCCAGCAATTGTACGCTTTTGTAAAGTATTGTCCCTGAGCGGTTCAGTTCTGTGGCCCTTATTATCTTCTCCAACATCAGGTTAAA